ATCACCTGTTTTAAGGGAGATGTTTTTGTGAGTAGTATATTTTCCGTTCAGAGTAGAAATAATACTCCATGTGGTCCTGTTTATGTTGGAAGATGAATGAATTTTGTTGATATAGTAATGGTTCTTTGTATATTTGATCAAATTTGAGTGATTTGTTCTAGCTGTTTTGTATATTGCGTTTAGTTTTGGATCCGTTTTTTGAGCCTGAAATAAAGTTTTTAAATTTTTACTCGATTTTTTGAGTGTGTGTTCGGCGAGTCTTGGCCTTCACCTGGAGATGTCTCCTAGTAAACTGTTCACCTTCCTAGAAAGGACAGGATGGACGATGACCTAGGAGGACAACTCCTCAGGAGGATGTACAATGGGTCACTTGTGGCCTAAGTGCAGTGAGCCTACACTCACCCTCCCTACTCTACAGAGAACAGAATGTCTAATGTCAGTTGAGAACTGACTAATGAAATCCAGGTATCGGGTTTGTCTAGGAGAAGTTATTTATGGTCTTTTCTTGAGAATGAACATTAAAATTTATGCAAACCAAAAAATGTATTAGACAAATCATCAATGTTATACAAACTCAAACTTTGCACCTTCGTTCATCTGACCAAAAACAAATTGAAACACTACAAATTTGGTTTTCAAAATTTTTATCTATTCAGCAAGGGAGTTAAAAAACTGAGGGTACTATTCAAAATGTGGTGAAAAAATTTATTTTTTGAGTGGTTTCGAATTATGTAATAGTTCACCAAATTCTTTGAAAATGTCAGAAAAATAGATTAAAAAAAGTGGAATATTTTGTTATAAACTACTATATACTTTTCTATATTGTTTTTTTCCTAATATGCACATTTATGCCTCTGGCAAATGAATGATTTATTGTTATCATTATTATTATATAATTATTGTAATTTTCATCATTATCTTTAGCAGACCAAATACAAAATGGGTGTTTCCTACCTTATCTTTCGGATTATATTTATCCAAATTGACTCCACAAACATACATGGGAGCATCTTTCGAAGGAGCACTAATTAGCACCTTCTTGGCTCCCCCTTGAAGAAGTAAGGAAGCTTTCTCAGTGGTGGTGAAAATACCAGAAGATTCAACTACCCAATCAACACCAGCATCTTTCCATGGAACTTTTTTCGGATCCGTTTCGGAAAAAATGCGTATTTTCTGCTTATTTACTATCAAATGCTTGTCATCGGAACACACTTTGCCATAGAATCTGCCATGAGAAGAGTCATGTTTGAAAAGGTATGCTATATATTTTGGATCAGCTGATGGTTGGTTGATTGCCGATATATCTGCATCCATTTCCATTGCACAACGGAGGAATGCTCTGCCGATACGTCCAAAACCATTTATTCCAATGTTCGACATTACTTTCGAATAAGCTGTCACTTTGACAAATCAAGACTGCGGTAAACTGATGGACATTGGAGCTGGAATGATATGAACTTGTGAACTTGATTTGATGATGAATGGATGAAAATATCAACAACTCATCGAATTCTTAGAATTTAATTTTATAAGATCATATACGAGCTCATTTGATGAACATTTTCCATTTGGCACTATGAGAACTCTCGACATTGAACAAAATTTTATTGAAAATGAAAATATTCACCGACATGAACTTCCTGCATTGTTAATAAATAGAAGAAAATATAAATTGCGGTGTAAAAAATTTGGTTGTTATTGTATCATCTAATATTGGCGTTTTTTTTTTGTTCGAAATCTATCTACTTCAATATATACACTACAGGAAAATCCTTGAGGCACTCCAAGAGGTGTTCCTGTGCGAAAGTTGCGATTCACGTTGGGATTTGAATCGCTGGAGATTCAATCAATTTGGAAAAACATTTTCAGGAAATTCATTACACATTAAGGTACTTATCCAAATCAAAGAGTTATTGAACAGTAAAGTTCGTGGTGTACTAAATTGAACCTCAAAACGTCCGTCGCGTATTTCTGATATGCACAACTCCCGTGGAAGCATTATATGAAAGAGACAAATATTTGATGTTCCACACTATCAAGTTTGCAAGTGTCTCCAATCAGGCGGATGGCTGTTTTCTGGATGGAATCCAGTATCTTCATGGTATGTTTGGGGGCAGAGCTCCATACAAGAGAACAATACTTTGAAGAAGGTCTGATCTGAGCTTCACAGAGCATCAAAAGTTGCTGAGGTGTGTAAAGTTTATTGGTTCGGAATGGTATTCCAAGCTTTTGAGAAGTAGCCTTCGCAACTCCAGTGGAATGTTTATGCCAAGACATATGTGTGTTCATTTCAACCCCCATCGGATCAGAAAGCGGATATGTGTCGGATTATATCAGGTTCGAAAAGATTTATCTTTTCGGGGAAATCCAATGCCTGGGTTTTCGTGGCATTGATTTGAAATTGGTTACCTTCACTCCAATTGGAAATCACCACTAGATTCTCATTGAGATATGTAAGCTCTTGCTGCTGATGAAGATGTTCATCTGCAACCGATGTTCTGAAATCCAAATGGAATGATGAGATAAGTGTGATGTCGTCAGCAAAGCAATATATTGTATTCTTGCTTTTTTTTAATATGTCGTTGATATATAATAAAAGGAGGGTTGAAGACAATATGGATCCCTGAGGAATACCAGCGTTGATGGTAAAAGTATTCGAGACATATTCATCGACAGACGCGCTTAAAGGAAACGTTCTTTCAGAAAGCTATAGAGCCATACACAAAAATGATTTGATAAGCCGTAGCATTGAAACTTGACCAACAAGCAGTACATCGCTGAAATCAATCGAGTGATCACTTACCGGTTTTGGAGTATTACTTTTCCCATCAGTGCATTACCGATCCCACTTTTGATCTTCGTTCCTGAGATGGAAAGTCGTCAAGGTGAAATCAGCATTATTTATTTCCCAACATTATCGAGACATAAATAAAATACAATCAACACCAGAATATTCAGAACAAAGATTGAATAATTAATTTATTGAGCGACGTTATCACCTGAACCACAAATTGATGAATTTGGAAATCATATCTATAAATTTATTGATTCACGCATGAACAAGAAGTGTACTCACAAAAAATGCAACGAAGTCCAAATCTACATAAGAACAATTTTGAAAGATTCAATCGGATCTTTCAGTTTTTTGAATTGTCTTATCGAGAAATATATATATATATATACAACATTGGAAACTTGAAGAAAATTCTGTCGATAAAATATAGTGGAAAGTGGTAGTTCAACTGAATTGCAGCAAAATATTAGTATCTGCAGATACAATCACACGAGAAAAAGTAATCAATGAGCGTTTGTCAGTCGAGAATTGATAGGATTTAACAAAATTGCTTCTATTTCCTCAGTTAACAGCAAATGAAAGAATTGCATAAACTTTATATTCAGAGCTGAAACTAAAGAAAATTGTACTAGATGTGGCCAAAATAATTACAACTCTAATGACCTGAAATGTTGCAGGGAAGGTTCGACCCAAACAGCAAAGTGTCTGGTACTCGATTAATTTCAACGCGATTCGACTGGGAGGAAGATTGTTAACTAGTAACAGCTCCATCTCGTGAACGAAGTTCCAAGCGTAGAAGAAACATCCCGTGTTAGACCAGGGGTGAAGCCTTCAAAAATGGTAAAAAGTAAAAAAAAATCATAGTGGGATAAAACCCATTAGGAAAGGAGGGGAATATGATAAAAATCAAAGGAAAAATAAATTACGGGCGATCTGAGTTCGGGAAGTGGGGGGAGGTGAGTTTTAGGGATGAAAAATGGTTTATCTTGATTTCCGGCGAAACTACAAGTCCTATAGGAAAAAGTTGAATTGCAAAGTAGTAGGTAATAAAGAGATCTACAAATTTTATATCTTTAATTTTTTCACATAGCCCGAAAAATATATGTGAAAAATTCAAATAACCAATTTTTTATTTTCCTCGCAGTCAACTATAAATGGCTTGCTCACGAGTAGCTGATTTGAAAAATGTGAACATTCATGCCCCATACGAAAAAATTATGTTGTTTATAGACAACTATTGTTGAAAGTTAGAATATTTTCACAATTCATTTTTTGCCTTTCATTCATAATCGCATTCCCTTGATCGGATCCGGCTAACCCAGTTACTGAGTTTGAAAAAAAGTACAATTTTGCCAAAGCACACGATTTGATATCTTCAATAATTCGAAATTTACCAACTTTAGTCACTCATAGTTTGAATTAGCCTGCACAAGCCACTATTTGTCATATTGTCATATTGATTCCGACCAAATCCCAAAAAATGTAAATTAAAGCAAGTCTTTCTCGTTTTTATTCAGAAAAAAAATCATAGATATTCCACTTATATTAGAGTTGAGAATGTCTTTGAATAATGTCTTCTATCCATGGTCTGTAATAAGCAACTTTCACATATACTCCTGGTTTATTGGCATAACCACAGTGTTGACCCCAAGAAGTCAATCCATATAAGGTGAAGTATCCTACGAAACAAAAAATGTAAAATTAACAATTTGAATAATAATAATGATAATAATCCTCAAATACCACAACTTAGTTTTTATTTTCAAAAACTATAGCTCACAAATTAATCTCCACAAACTTTATTTGAAAAATATATAACATGTTTCGCTAGCACAGTAGCTTTCTCAAGTGACTTCAAAATACTATGGATCTTCATCAAGTAACGGCTTAATCGATCAGAAAATTAGTTTTTATTCTTCATCACCTCAAAATCAACTAGCCAATTTAAACACGTGAAATTAGTTTTCAGAAATCAGAAGACTATTTCGTCACTCTGAAAGTAAAACTCACTAAGTACAATAACTGACTTTTGAAATAATCGACAATTAATAAAATACGAACAATAAATTTCACTGTTCTATTTCAACGTGCGTCTAATATTCCTGATGTTTTTTCGATAATATTTCATTGTGCTACCCTTTCTAACTAGTTAAACCACCCACAAAGTGATATTTTCTTTCGAGCAGAATTTTGAAAAAAATGTACTTATTCATTTTTACTTCTGAGGTGACTACTAAAACAATAGTAGTTAGTGAATAAAATATCATTAAAAAAATTTGTATTGCTTTTTTGAGATAAAATTCGAAACTGTAATTGTAAATATTCATTATTCGTTATTTTCATCTTCTTCTACATCAGGTTCCGGCAAACGGTTCACCCTTACAGTTGCCGGTAGATATTCATACCAGTGGTGCACACACAGCTTTGAAATGTCCGCTTTCTTCTGTTTGCTTATTGGAAGTAGTTGACTATAAGCGGGCTTAAGTTCAAGGACATGAATAGTGCCATCGTTCAATGTTGGCCTGGCCGGAGGCCTTTCAACGGAGCATCTTCCCTCTATCTATCGAAGCCACCGCCACGAGAACCCATGCTCCATCAAATTAGCGGGGTAGAAAACCCTTTTCATTATTTCAATAATATAATTACAATACATTTATATACAAAATACTAACTCAAACTAAATACAATATATCATGATAAATCAAATAAAACATTTCTTCTTTTCTGTACACTGCCTAGATGCCCGAACAATATCCGTGGTCGTCACCATTGGAGAGACCGCCAACAGCGCTCCAAGTCGTCGGCACTCCAGATTTTTGGCACCAAGGTAATAGCCTGCTCTTTACCCTTCTCTTTCATCCCTCACCACACTCTCCGCCCATTCATTAACGAATCTTATCCATTCATTGTTCTTTCCATTCTCTCCTCTCAGAGCTATCTCCCCATTTTCTCGCTCCTTATATTCTCTCCATTCACGCCACCCTGTCCTGTCTCCATCCATACATCTTTCTATCACATGTTCCGCCGTTTCAGGCTCACCATAGCCGCAGAAACATGGCACTTCCGGTCCCAGGTTGAACCTGGCAAGGTATCCCGGAAAATTACCATGTCCCGTAAGCAACTTGGTGGCCTTCCGCGACAGATTCAGTGATTCACTCCCGACTGTCCTGCAGAATCTGTAGAACAGCCGCCCAGTCTCTCCTGTGTCTCATTCCCTCTGCCAATCTATACTGATTCGTTCTTTGATCCTCTTCCTCTCTTCACTCTTACTCCCTATTCTCACTACTTCCTATGAAATCTCCGTTTTCCTCATTCCCCTTGTTGCCTCCTCGTGAGGTTTCCTATTACCGAGATTGTTATTCTCATGGCCGCGCTTCCAGATTAACCAGGTCCGCGCTCCTCTCACTTTTCTCTCTTCTATCATCCTCTGTATATGCGCTACCCTCTTATTCCTCGTTCTTCCTGCTTTCAGACGTTCCACAGCCATGGCAGAATCGCTTATCACAGTTACACTCTCATTCTTATCCCACATACCTATCACTCTTTCGATCGCAACCAATTCTGCCTCATTCACACTGCTCTGTCCGGGGATTCTTTCATTTCCCTGTAACCATTCATTTTCCTCACGTTCGTATGCCCAGCCTATGCCCATTCGTTCTTCTTCCAGCTTTGCTCCAGCATCCACATACACCCTCATCGCACTCTCGTCCTCCCTTTCCTCCAGCAACATTCCTTGCATCCATGGGAGTATTCTATCCTCTCCTTTCACCATGTCTTCTCTCTTTTTTCTCCCATTCACCCTCCATTCATGGTGTCTGGCGCTCGCTTCCACATGAAGCGGTGCCATACCTGAGATAACACAGAGCGCAGCCGATGGCGCCGTCCTGTACGCTCCACATGAAGCGATTAGGAAGGGCTTCTGCGCCGCGCTCAGTTGTCTCCTGATTCGACTGTCGTGCGTTCTACCCCCCACACTTGTACTCCATACATGATCGCAGGTTTTGCCACTCTCTCGTATATTATTCTCACACATTATCTCCTCAGTCCAACGTCTCTCCCGGTCCATCTTCTTAGCTTACCCGCTAGCGTATTAAGTTTTTTCCTTGTTCCCTTGTGGTGGTCTATGAATAATAATCCAGTATCCACCACAATTCCCAAGTACTTCACATTTATGCTCTGCTCAATACTCTTCCATTCATACTTATGACCGGGAGTCTCTCATCCCTCCTGGCTGGTATGTACATGCATTCTGTTTTCGAGTCGTTATATTCCAGCCACATCTCGTCTTCCCATTCTTTACATTCTTTCCATACCAGCTCCCACCTCCGTTCTATGTCCTTGACAAGGTTTCCCTCGATGATGACTAGTTGGTCATCCGCGTAGGCCTGCGTATATACTCCGTATGTTCCGATGCCTTCTCTCGCTTTCATGTCTCTGATTCGCTCGAACCATGCTTCCATCACTACCAACCATAGTGTAGGTCCCAGGCTAGACCCCTGTGGGCAGCCTCTGTCCACCATCTCAGAGACCAGCCCACAGGTAGCCGTTCTCCTACCTATGAAACTCAAACACGTCATCCCCACATTACCCGGCATCCCCATTCGCTTCATGCACCTCTCTATCGCTGGTGCCCACGCGGTATTAAAGGCGTTTGACAGGTCCAACGCCAAAACCAAACTATGTCTCCTTGCTTTCTTATTTTCTTTCACTCTATTCACCATTTTTTCTACCGCCATACTAGTATCCATTCCCGCCCTGAAACCATACTGGTTCGGGGAGAACTTCAACTCTCTCTCACACCAAATTTGCACTCTACCATTTAGAAGCCTGTCTAACGTACGTCCCATTCCAGTCAGCAAGCTGATAGGTCTGGGGTTTCCATCCTTCTTAGGTATCCACACAACCTTTGCTTTTTTCCATACCTCCGGGAAGTACCCTCTATTCAGGCAGGCGTTGAATATTTTATTCATGCAGTCTCCCTTCCATTTGGTCACCTTACGGATGACTTCGTTAGGGACCCCATCTTCAAGGACAGCAGAGATATCTTTTTGTAGTCGGGTTTTACCGCAGATACCAATTTTTCGATATTCTAAGGAGTGGTCATACCGGTAGTATAAGATGTCAGGTGAATTTTTTTTTAAATTTCAGACATTTTATTTTCAGCCACGATACGATGTCACCATTTTCATAGCTTAGCGAAGGCTTGCAGAACCTTAAAATCCTCATATTTTAATTCATGTATCTGGTAAGGCACATTTGGTTCAGCATTTGTTCGTTTTTTTTTGTCTGTAGGTATTTCTGCTTGAACGACTTCGCTCAAAAATGTTAATTTAGTCATTCATAATAAACGTCGATGGAGTCGCACTCCATCTATGAGTGACCGGACTCCAAGAACTTAAGTTCGATTCTGTTGATGTGACTATGGGATACTGCATACAGAAGAGTGGCAGCTACCTGCTGGTTACGGTTTTGTCCTCCACAAGTGTCAGTAGATAACGATATATCTGTCACTGTGAACAGCAACTTCTGTATATACATCAGTAGAATAGATCCTATTTCATTACTACTAATTTTTCCATTAAGTTCATTCCAGTAAAAGCAATAGGCATTATTTCCAAGACCTTCATGAATTGTTAGGTTGTATACGCAAATTTTTTGTGCATAGTAGAACTCCGATACTTCTGAATAGGGAACTTTGCAGGTCAAAAGTTGCTGTTACGAAAGATAAATCATCCTGAGATCTAAATTTATCGTTTGATTCAGCTTCGTTACACTCATTTTTTCTAGTGATATGTATAGAATATTCAGCTTCCAAATCATATTTTCCTTTATTGTCAGCTAGTTTATATCTACTGCAGTCGCACACTGGTCCTTCTTGGGTTTGAAAAAAGATAGATTGTAATTTGTACAAAAAATATTCCCGTATATGAATTCAGTTACAGGCCCCTCTTTACTGTTTTTGCATATCTCGTTATACAGTTCGTACATTTTGAGAAAGGATAATTTACTATCAAGATACTTTTTTTTTAATTCATTCGGATGTAGTGCGACTCCATAGCTGAAAATCTCTCGATATGTGTCTTGATCAAAGATATTTGTGCTGCCGACGTCTTATTGCCGGGTGTTTTTTTGCCTCTTCTATCCACTCCTTGAAATGTCCCAGCGGAGTCTTTACCCTTGATAGCAGTTTCAATAGGGCCATTTGAAATACAAAGTGTTTTCCGAAAAAAATCATTAATTTAGCTCTTTCACTCATTTTACACCATACTGTAAATAAAATGTTTTAAATAAAAAACAGGTCTCCTTGTAAAATAACCCACTCAAGTAAAATATCGTAACACGAAACTGAATAAGTACTTACTTAACGCTTTTGTTGTATGTACTATGTTGCCCGGCTGCTAAGGTAGCTGGTATAGGTAAATCTAATCAAGTGCATTTTCAGTTTTGCTTCTCAGATGATTGGTCACAAATTTGCACTTGGTTAATTTTACTAATACAGTTCTATGAAACTAAGTGGAATTAACACTTGATTATTTTGTCATCTGGTAGAGCATGCAATAAAAAGTGCACCTGTTGAGAAAAGTCAATTTACCTCAAAGTGTCACTTAGTGAGTTTTACCTTTAAAGTGACGATTTATGAACTATTTTCTGAATTGCGGTTTATTCCACAATTCCGTCCAATTGTGAGAAGAAGTACATTTGACAAACTAGTAGAAGATTCAAAAATCGTATTATTTCTCACAAAAGTGACATTAGGTTCATTAACCAATTTGCACCCTTTCGAAACACACCATTGACTTATATAATGGATTACCCTTTGACAATGTACACATTTCAGACTCAGAAAGTGATGTTCAAGACTGAACTTTTTTAGAAATGAAGTCAAATTTTCAAAGATTTCAATACCATCAATTCCAGAACATACATTGAGAGTTTGAGTCTGTCACATACATATCCCCGCTCTTAGAGCGGTGACAGTGCGAAAGTAGTGATTCACATTGGATTTGAATCGCTCGAGATTAAATCCATTTGGAATAACGTTCTCGAGAAGTTTATTTCACATAAACGCCGTTCTCCAAATGACAGAGTTGTTATACAGTGAAGTTAGAGGTGTACTGAGTTGAACATCAAAACGATAAGCAGCCACAGTCCCTCGCGAATTTCTGATATGTATCGTTTTGGTGGAATCAATTCTGTTCTGTTTTTCTGTTAATCAGCTGTGGCCCCCATACGAAAAACAACTCTCAGAAGTTGAGAAACTTGTGCGAGCTAAGGATTAACTAGGTCTTTTAACGTGTGATTCCTAACACGGAAATTTTGCCAAGTCACTTGAACACTTCCCGTGAAAGTATTTATAGAAGAGAGACAAATCTCCAACCTGTCTTCGATATTCCAGACAATAGAGGTTGCAAATGATATTCGCGTCTTCAAATAGGCGAATAGTTCTTTTCTGGATGGAATTCAGCAGCTTAAAGGTATGTTTCGGGGGCGGAGCTCCATACATGAGAACAATACTCCAGAGAAGGTCTGATCTAAGTTTTATAAAGCATCAAAAGTTGCTGAGGTGTATACAGTTTTCTGGTTCGAAACAGTGTTCCAAGCTTTTGAGAAGCAGCCTTTGTAATTCCAACGACATTATTGTGCCAAGAAATATTGATGTCCATTTTAACTCCCCAACAAACTTATTGAAGCAGAAAGCAGAATTGTCTGTCCCGACATTATAACCGGTTCGGAAACATTTATCTTTCTAGAGAAAACCGATACCTGGGTTTTTGTGGCATTGAATTGAACCTGGTTACTTTAACCCCAATTCGAAATTTCTTCTAGATCTTCATTAAGATATTCAACCTCCTGCTATCGGTGAAGATGTGCATACGCAGCCGATTTTCTGGAATCCCAATGGAATGATGGGACAAATGTGCTCTCGTCAGCAAAGCAATATATTGAATCCTTGGTTTTTTCCAATAAGTCGTTGATATACAATTGAAAGAGGGTTGGAGACAATATGCATCCCTGTGTAACACCATCATAGATGGTGAAGGTATTTAAGAGATATTCATCGATGGCCACTTGCAGGAAACGTTCGTTCAGGAAGCTGGAGAGCCATACACAAAAGTGATCCGACATGCCATAGCATCGAACTTTGGCCAGCAAACCCTCATGCCACACACTCAAAGGAAAGGTCGCCTGTTAATTTTTGTTTCCGAAAACCATATTGATTATCGCTCATGATATTGAAGCATTCCAAAATATTTGAGGATATGATGATTTACGGTTTTCTCCATGATTTTTGATGCCACCGATAGCAAAGCGACTGGGCTATAGGAATAGGTTGAATGCGAGCAATTTTCCAACAAGAAGGAAAAATCTCTTTATTGCAAGACACGTTGAAAAGTCTGCAAAATACTGGTGAGAGTTGATTTGCGCATTTTCTGAGTACGATGGCGAGCACTTCATCAGGTACCTTGTTGATATTGAGCTGTTTCAGACGCTGCCGAAAAGTATTTTCCGGCATTGTGGATTCTAGTGTGGGAATAGTGGGAATAGCCTTTCCCAGAAATCTTACTGTGGAATAGGACGCAAATTGTTCAGCTATGGCTACTGTGGCAATTGAACCATCCGCTTGTGTAACTATGGAATTGTGGATTTTATAAAGTTCCGATTACCAGCTTCAGCTACCGACCAGAAGAATCTCGTTGAAATTGATAAGCAGTGTATCCTCAATTCTCTCATTGTGAAGTTCTTTGCTTTCATTCATCCTAAGTTTGCATCTGTTGCGATCATTAACGCACCTAGTTCGATTTTCGTCACTGCCAGTGGGCGTATATTATTACTGTATATTACTCGATAAATTGAAAGATGGTAAAAAATGCTTCAAGATGATATACATGTCCCTATACCTTAATCGTCAAGTTTTCTTAATGAAGCCGTTTTTGTGGAAAAATAGTTATTCACGTTTTACCTACAAGTGTTGAAAGTGGCATTTTATTTTGTGAGTGGGAATTATTGCAAAACGAGCGTCAGCAAGTGGAGAAAACTCACGAGCAAAATAAAATCACTTTTAACAAATGTAT